TGACGCTCAGGCAAATTAAGAAACATGAAGGCTTTGAAAGAAGGCTGAAGGAAATGTTACTTTTTATGGGATGACGTGTTGCCCCAGTGGATGGGTAGTAATACCGAGTATAATTAATAACATATAATAATATATAATTAATATATTAATATAATAATAATGTATAATTAATAAAACACTTTACATAGGCTGTTTGCTTTGATGCATTAATTAGAATTTGGTGAATGCAAGTGCATTGCTTCACCTAGAATAACACCCTCCTCCCTGAGTCAACCTTGGGTTTTGGAGCTGGAGGTCATTTGGGCATGGGCAAGTTTCAGGTTTGGACAGTGCCTTTTTTCCCAGGAGGAGGTTGTCTCTGCTGCCTCATCTGTGGTTTCTAAATCAAATTTCCATGCCTGGGAAAGGAGCAGGCTCTTTAGGGAACCCTAGAGCCCCAGAAATTCTGGATATTTTGGAAGAGAGTTGGGGCAGAGCAATGGCAAATGGTATCTGCCATGGTGCGGAGCAGAACCTACCTCTGTGCATGGTAAAATCCCAAGGAGAGAGGTGCTGTTTAGGGATACCCAAAGAGGTGGATCGGGCTACCAAAGAGCAAGGCTGCATCTTGCAATGCCTCCCAAGGCTGCCTTGCTTGTGAAACTGAGCTCTTCTTCTGGGCACCCTCATTGTTCCTCTGCAAAAAATCCTGTTTTTGAGAGCTTTCATTGTGATGGGGGAAGAATTGCACTCTCTGCGAACAGGTTTATTGACATTTTCTTCAGAGCTAAAAAATTGGTGAAAACTTGATAAGAGCGTATTTCGCCCTCATGCAGTGAGCTGAGTATGACCAAACCAAATAAACAGTCAAGAGCTACATTTATGCAAAATGATCCTTTTGTATTTAAGAAAAAATTAACTTTTAACATACACCTTTGTGGAGCACAGCTTTATTTTACTTTTCTCAGTTCTTTCTTTTAGTACCCACACCTGCAGATGTTGTATGAACACATACTGAACTCTGACCTGGGCATAAAACACAAGGTGAATGTGTCTCCATACATTTTGCCGAAGTTTGTCCCAGTTGAATTTAGAAAGAATTATTTATAATTTAAAGAAGTTTATACATGTAATGGGACAAAGGCAATGTTATTAGCAATGCTAATAGCATTTTAAAAAGTTAAAAGGGAAAGATACTATCCTAGCAGGGCATCGAATAAGTGTTGTAAGAGTAAAAAGCATCGTGGCACTAGTGAGGATATTAAGAGCTCGTCTCTAGTCTTTTGTTCAGCCAAAGTGGAGAATAAAATTCTTGGTTTACCTCCCAGGCAGTAAGACGGATTTCAGATCTGTTTACATAGGGAATATTGTAATATATGTCCTACATCCCAACGTTCTAGTGGACATGATTTTAAAAAAATCTGAGGACTAGCTTGCTTTTTAAGACACTAGTCGTGTCTCAAAAAGGCGTGAGAAATATTCACTTTGGAAATATTTTGTCTGTCTTTAGATCAGCCCATACATATTAAATATATGTGTAATTAAGCCCAGGAAGGCTGCAACAAGCAAAACAACTTTTTTGCTTGGGAAATTCATTATTTTTGTTTAGGATCTAGTTTAAGCACTTATTTTGAATGGTCAGACCAAAACTTTAGGTCTCTGCAGGGCTGATTTAGGTGGGCTAAGACTAACATAGGGTCAGAAAAGCACTTCTCTAAAGAAGGAGTTCTCGTCCTAAAGGTAAAAAGCGCTTAAAAGTGTTTCTATTCAGCCTGTTTGTGTTCAGGCATGAACTTAAACACAGTTTTAATTTAAAGCAAGTGCAAAAACTCTTTTGATCAAGCAACTTAGAAATATGTTACTTATATGCACTTGTGTGTTGTTTCTTTGGAGTTTCTAGAGGCAGATTCGAATATAAAGGAAATCTTCAACAGAAAGTAGTCCAGACAAATTAGGGTGACAAATCTGAACGAAAGATTGTGGGGAGGATGTATGTTAGGTTGCTTGTGTGGTTTTTTAATACTTTAGAATGATTTTTTTGTGTGTGTTTTCATTCTGTTGTTGACAAAGCTACATTTTTTTTAACTCACACACTTGTTATTTCAAACAATAGCATAGTTACCTAACATAACAAAAGATATTTTCTTTCTATTTAATCTTAACAAAACGCAGAAAAGAGAAAAATAGTAGAAGTGTTTGTATTATTTTCTTTTTGCAACTGGATGATTGTGATTTGATAACCCAATATTTTCCTTTCCTTATAATACCAAGGGTCTGTCTCACAACTGGATCGACACAAGCGTAAGCACTCAGAAATCTGCCTGTGGGTATTAGCTTGAAAGTCAAATAAACTTCATTGAATTCTTTGGCACTGAATGTGTACCAGTTTAAAATGGCAAAATCTTGCAGCTCTATAAAACTTATGTAATAATAATAGAGATCAGCTAGGCATGATATTGCATGCCTTATGCTTCCAAAAGCCCTATTTGGGCTCTAGGAATCAACAGGAGGTTTATCTATATGGAGATAGCCTGGAGAAGGATCATTACTAAAGCATATGTTTGAACGAATTTGTTAGACCCTATCCACCGAAGACCTGGAATGGATATTTCAAGCTACTCAGTATGTTTGAGGGATAAGAAAAAAAAATCATGGACTTAACTAGAGTGGAAGTCACCCAACTGAAACATTATACAACACTTTGAAATTTCAAGAAAAGAGTTCTAATCTTTTGGCTGTCTTACTCATTGTTTGGAGATGAAAAGGGAGGAAATCAACATCCCCATGAAATACAATTACTGTAAATTGCTTTCTTTTCTTACTGTTCATAATGAAAATAGGAAAGTTACCAGAAGCCACCTACTCCGCACGAGCCGAGTTGTTCAGTTGATGCAGGTAGCAAAAAGAAACTCAGTAGTGCAAAACCCCTGGGTTTATGCATTAATAAACTCATAGAGACCATAACTTACTGCACAGCAGTGCTAACTCTGATTAAGTCTGTAGTGACCAATAGTCACCTCTGCAGTGGAAGAAACAGCAGCTCCATAAAGCAGAGGATAAAATCAAACTCAACTTGTACATGGCATTGATATCCAGAGTGGGGAGGAAAAGAGTGAATGGAGGCTCTCAGTTTTGCCCTTGTGTCTGCATACTATTGGGGAAAAAACATGCTGATTGCTGAAGGTAATATCAAATATCATCACCACTTACTTATAGAACATTTCAATTTATTTTCCTAAGAAGCAGGAGAGAAAGGCATTGGGAGACGGTGAGATCACCTAGCTCTGGTAAATTATGCTACTGCAAGCCTACTTCTTCCTCTTACTCTTTCTTACTCTTTCTTTTTAATCATACCAGATTCCTGAGACCTTATTACAATGAGAATTGTTTGCCCGTTGCTGCAGTGCTTTCAAATAGCATGTCAGTGGTTTGATACTGTTAAATAAACTAACTCAGAAGTCATAAGCAGGTTATGATCAGATCAACTTTTTAAAATGACAAGATTCTAAAAAAATAAAAATCTGTCTTTTTTATTTTTTCCTATAACTTTTGAGGGTCCTGTTTTCAAACTTTCTAGATGAAAACTCAGATTCTCTTGACAGCAAGAATTGCATCTTTCACAAAACAGAAGATGTTGAAAGACTCACGTGAGCAAGAGGGTTGTGCCACCACTGGATCCTGAGTGGGTCTTTGCATGTGCACTTTTATATTGGCTAGTGTGGTGGAAGCACTTTGCCTTTTTCTTTTTTCTTTCTTTCTTTCTTTCTTTCTTTCTTTCTTTCTTTCTTTCTTTCTTTCTTTCTTTCTTTCTTTCTTTCTTTCTTTCTTTCTT